TTTTTTTTAAGTTTTTGGGGCAGTTTCAAGTCCTTGAAGTCCAGTTATTCCTTCTAAGGACAGAAGGTCTTTAGTAGCCCATCTCTGTTGAAACTCTGAAGATTGAGCAATTCGTGGGGTGTAGTCATTGAAACCGGGATTTTGTCTTTGATCTAACAACTAAGCTAATGTCATCCGAAGGGCAGGTGGTATCAGGGAAGACTGGCAAGGCTGCTCCCTATGTGGTTATACTTTTTGAACTATTTTCTTTTTTGCTTAAGGTGGAAGTGCTGATAGCTGCAAACCCATTGGAAGACGCCACAATGAAGATGGAAATCAACCGCAACTTGAGGGAAATCTTCTCCGATCGTCCTATTTTTGATCGTCGTCAGAGATCGGTACGTTATTTTGATCGATGTGCCTTCACTTGCACACCACCGTACTCCCATGTCTGACGTGGGCATAATTTGCGTGTCGTGTTTAGGTGGAAATTCTTCGGCAATTGAAGTTGAGTGATGTGCAGGACTTCTACAGGGAGACCTACCACAACCTGGAGAAACAGCCAAGTCTGATGATCCAGGTGAGTGTGATTTCAGTGGACTCGAACAAGCCTGCAAATTGGAGAGCCACTTGACACACCGTTTGTACTTCGACTTGTCTGCATTGCTTCGCGTTGCCTTGCGTTGCGTTGAACGCATAGGGAATTTTGTTGTGCAAGGTTATATAAATGCAAGGTAGTTCAGGACGAATGGAGGCTTTTTGGTCTACAGCAGAATGAGAAACGACTGGAAAACGTCGAGATGTAAAGACTTGCTCTTTACACGGTATTATCCCATGGCAGCCTCTTTTAATTCGACTTGGGTACCTTAATGCTGACGCGTTCGTATGCGTCTAGTTCTATGGATGCTTAGAAGAATTAAGGAATGCTGCTGTTTGTTAACTGATTCAATATAGTCTTGGTCTTCGCTGACATGCGCACGATTGGTTGGTGGTCAGTATCATAACCATTACTGTGTTTGAGATCTACCATGGAATCAAGTATCTGCGGTTTAGCGTCTCCGCAGCGTTTTCCCATCGGAGGTTGAATGTTTATGGTTCTACTGACTGGTTTTGCTCTCGCCCTCCGCCTCTTAGGTGGACTCCTTGAGTGACGTGGTGCCGGTGGCTGCCTTTTCAAGGGGCGGGAGCGCAAAGGTCCTAAAGACCTTTGATTGGCCGCTGTGCATAGTTCCGATGAGTGGTGATCAGGCGGAGGCGGAGCGGAGCGCAGCCCTTGCGGTGGATGTGCGCGAGGCGGTACGCGTCTGCGCACCCAACCTCGTCACTGACGCTGCAAAGGGCGAACCCAACGCCGATTTCAGCATTGAGGAGGAGAGAGCAGAGGTCGCTCTTCCGCGGTTCGTCGAAATATCGGACGTGCGCCACTTCAAACACAAGGTCCTTTTTCCACTTCCACTTTAGGCAAATGTGTGTGTATATGTTTGTTAATTGGCAAAGCGGTCGAGTAGTGTTGACTGCCTCACCCCTCTCTTTTCCTCGTCTTCTTTCCTTTTTATGGCTTCCTATTGTTGTTTGGTTGATTGGAATAAAAATATGAATTGACAACTGGTCTTTTTGAACTGGGGATTTAGGTTAGGGGTGTACTGCTAATGTTGGCTGTAAGTGCTTCTCTTAACATGGAATTTCTCGTAGATGTCTGCTTCCTGTCGGGGTTTGAGCTCCTTGTCATGGGCTGGACGAGGGGGAGAGGGAGAAGGTGGTCTCATTAGGCTGGAGAAGTCAGTGTTTTAATTAGAACAATTTAGTAGACATTAGGACTTTTGGGAGATCTATGCATTCACACGGAAAGGGGAAGTAAACTTACTTGTTCTGGGATAAATTATTAAAAGATGCTTTTATTGTTCGAGGGCTTTGTTTAAAACAACCGCAATGGACGTCACGTGTTACACGTATTTTATACCAGCTTATTGGTAACATTGGGCATCTTAAATCGGGTTTGATAACTATGGTTTTCAGTTATTTTATCCTCCGACTCAGAATGACAAATTAGTTACAACAGATGTGATTGTCAAGTCAAGGAGCGATGTGGAGAAAATCGGCTCACATTTTGCCATCCAGCATGTTGTCACCCAACTCGCATCCAAGAACGCATCACACACCTTCCCCACTGACAAGATGATGGTGTCGCTCCCACTGCTCCGCCTACTATCCACTCTTGTCCGACACATTCAGAAGCAGCTCTGATTGTGGTGGACGAGCAGAGGAGGGAGGCGAGACCGAAAGAGGGCGGCAAAATCAACTATTTCATGGCAAATGCTGTGCTAGTTGAAAAAACTTCCCAACTCATTCATTCAAATGCGTGACAACTGTTGTTGCAGCTTCTGTTGACGGAATTGTGAAGTTCTATGCCTTGTCCTTTTAGAGTCTTTACCAGCGTCTACTTCAGCATGGTTTGGCACGAATTGATCAACTGGGTGGATTGACACGTCAACGACTCATTGACTTGGGAGTCACAAGTGCCGAGGATCGAACGACATGTCAAATATCCTAAGAACCACTTCAGTCCATCATCCGCCACCTCTTATTTACTTCGACCTTCTAATATTGTAAACTATTTTGTGTGCCGCAACTTACAAAACTATTCATAAATTAAAATTCTAATCCACTTATGTAATCCGCCTTTTGAAGCAATGCTCTGCTGTCATTGCTACTACTCTTTTAAAACAACAAGTTTTAGTCTGCTTAAAATTTGTTAGTAGAATGGATATTTGTCTAGTCGCTAAGTCATGCTAAAAATCGTATTTTTCCTTTTTTTTAGAACTAAAAATTTTTTAACCCACTATATTTAATGATTGCAAATTATCCTTATTCTAGCATTTGTCTCATTTCTGACAAATGGTACTTCAAAATTTGCCTCTTTTATGATTTTTTTTTGATTGCATATGATTTGTAAAGTAATTAAACTAGTTTTCTCTTTAATTTTCAAAGCTTCTCTATTCCTTTACTGATTCGCAATTGCAATCTTTTCACAACAATGCCAAATGATTGTAAATATTACTTTAATAAAAAAAGTTTTTGTCTCTTAGATAAAAGAATTGTAACAACTCCTACTTCTTATTTTAATTACCTTCTACGACTGTCGGTTTGGAATATGCTTGTCAAATGCTAGTCAAATCTAATTAAAATCACGTGGAGAAATACGGATTAATGGAGGATGGGACTTGAGGAGGAGGAGGAGACGGTATCACCTTTTTCGTTTTTGTTCTACCTAAAGTGGGAGTCATCTCATCAGTCCGTTTTGCACTGTACCAGTGCAACATCTCTCCCAATTAGACCGTACTGACTGCTTCTGGAGTCCCTATTCCACGGTCATTGTCATCAACCGCTTCTTGTTAAAGAGACCTATTTCATGCACAGACACTGCAGGTATTTTTGGCCGGAAGTAAAGTGATGCAGTGCCTGCCTTAAAGCTTTGGCGGGGCAATAAAATTGATCCTTTGTTGGCAGCCAATGATAAACGAGCTTTGCAATTCAAAGGTCATTCTGTAGTCGGTCTATTATTCCGAATGTCACGAGGCACACACCTGCCTAGCTCCTCCTCTTTCCACTTGGTGCAGCTGAACACTACACAAAGGCTCATTCCTCACCCTTGAGACCAGAGGGACGTAGCACGCATATTTTGCTCATCATGGAAGGATTCACCATCAGGATCCAATTCGAAAAATGATGCATTCTGCTACCTCGCCGTCTTCACATGCCGCATCAAGGTTAAGCCTGCCAACCTTAGATTAGAGCAGGTTTGTTCCACGGACAGTTCTTTATAAGAAGGTGAGAAGAAAGGAAACGAGTAGAGAGAGACAGAGCGGGTGCTAATTTATTGTGTCCACTTCAACCAGCCCAATCCCTTATGCATATGTGTGTTTAAAGCCACTAGGCACCTAAAAGTTAACCCAGATAAAGTCGTGCCGCTAAATTCCATTTTATTGTGAGTTGTCATTTGGAGGTGTTTGACACTTTACTCAGCTTTAACTTCATCTTCAGACGTGTTGCAACACAACGCAAAGTCATGGCTTCGTGACACCCAAAATCACGCTTCTCTGAAGCATAAAGCTGGTTGAACCCTGACTGCGATTCCCATGGATTGCATCTCCTTCCAATTTGGAAGTACGTGCCACTTGTGGGAGCTTGTTTGCAGGTGGGTAGGATAAGATGTAGCAAAAAAGAAAAGTGTTACATCCGTTGACAGGCTGAGTGTTAAAATTTGTGCTCCTGCGGTAAGTTGAATCTACGAATCTATGATTTGCTTTCCCGCAAAGAGTGTACTGCAAGAGAGGCAAAATTTCTTCCAATTTACGACAAAAATCGCTACACGTACACAATTATTCTCTTCATTAACCAAGTCGTTATTGTCGGTATAAAAGACAAGACAGAATTTAGCGTCAAACCCTGTCCAAAATTCCACTTTCCGGGGGTAAAATATCCGATTTTGAAAAAACCTGTCGGAACTGTAGCTGTTGTTGTTGTGACTGCTGCTGTTGATGATGGTGATGGTGCTGTTGTCGACGGAAGATCATCTGCTTTGTGAGCCCATTGCTACGAGGCATACTCGAGGTGTTGGCAGCTAGAAGGCTTTTGGGGATAAGTGCAGCCTCTGTGCGAATTCGTCTGACATGAGTGAGTGGAATGTCCAGACCGTAGACCATTTGAGCATCGGTGACAGCTGTCAAACAGGCTGGTAGTGCAAGCTCCGCTGAACCCAAAGCCGCGACCAGTCGATTAGAGTACATTGGCAATCCGATAGTTGTAAGAAAGTCTGTTAAATTGTCAGTTTTTATCCCACTGCAATTGAGGTAGCGCTGGGTCCGAATATCATCATAGTTTGGTGTCTGCAAGAGAGAGAAGTAGACGTATTTCTACTAAAAATAGGCTGAAGTAGTAAATTAAGTAACTCAAAATTGCATTGTATTATGCTGTAATGCTTTGGCTTTGATGAAATCGGTTCTTCTGACCCTTCATCCATCCATTCCTAAAACACCCACCCCGCACACATCCATGCGTCCATCCATTTTAGGGAAGAACCATCCTACGAATTAACCTTATCCAAAGGACAATTCATATTCTGTAAAAGCATTTAAATTTTGTTAAATGCATTGTATTGTTAAAAGGCAATTAATACTTCGCTTTGGAAAGGCCTTAACCTTTGAGGTGCCATTTCGCAATACCTTCCATAAAAAGAGGGACAAACTCAATGTAAAAACAGATTTTTTAGAGTTCATTTTACGTTGCCCTTTGTCCGCACAACTTTTAGTAGTATTTGCGCTTTCTTTGTAAATGTATAAGAACTTTGTCCGAATTGTACGCCCCTCCCATCCTTTACTATACTTTATCACCAGTTTAGCCTGATGGCCTTGCCTCCAGACCTCCAGCCGCCTTACCCTTCGACACGTGAACAGTAAGTCACTTAACAATGCATGGTATGAAGCACAAAAGCCATTGGAGGAATTAAGGGGATGACCATTTCCCACGTTGTAAATCGTCTTGCGGTAGAGGGGAGAGGTGTAGGGTGGGGCAGAGGTGTGGTGTCACCCAAAAGCCAGGAATGATGTCACTGGATGCACCACACACCGATCTCCAACGTTAGCAGAGCGGCCGAGGTGCGCTGCTTAGACCAGTAAACACTCGAGTGAGCATGAGAAGTTGGTTTTATGATGCGAGCAATTTATCACTGATGCGCTACCAACGAATGAATAAGAATTTGCATTCAGTTTATTTACTGAGAGTAGGAAAGTAGGTAAATTATTCCTGCATTTCGTTGTATTAGAAAGGACAACTGTGAAAAGAAGGTAAACAATTTCATGTGCTTTTTTTATGAGACAATTTAAACAGCCACAGAAATATGCGCCTCAGTGGATTAAACTAACCTCGCAAACTTTGCCGGTGTGATAAAAGCTTGCAAACTTTACTTCTACATAAAAATTTTTTGCCCCTAGAAGTAAAAAGGTAAAGCCATCTTTGTTTCTACCTAAAAGCTATTCTCTACCTGTCCACCTTACTGTCTGGGTGGCTTTCTAAAGCTAAGGAAGGTGACAGCTATCACTTAGACGCAAGCAAATCAACAGAATGTGGAGACGTGGTACTGCTATAAATTGCGTGGATTATGGCGATATCCGGAACCAGACTAACCACAGACACAAAACACTTCAATGGTTGGTAACCCGTATGCTTAAGGTGGGGAGCACAGGGTGTGGGTGCGCTATTACTGCAGACCATCAGTGGAGACATGAGACTGTTCACTCTCGCGCGATGGCAGTATTTTGGAAGGTCTTTGCCTTTCATTAGTTATCACCCTATTTTAAGTCAATCTGTATGTGATTTTGGTCAAACAGAAAGAATTAAGTGGAGGTGTAAGTTTCGATACGCCCTAGAATGTTCGAAAGGTTGAAATAAAAAAGAAACCTAATGTGAAATTGGGGAAAGAACGTTTTTGAACTCGTAGACATCGCCATATACTTTTCATTTAACGGCTACATTTGTAGTAACATAATGGGACTGATCTGTGCACCTACCTTCCAATTTTACGACGGAGGCTTTTGTTTGAATGAAGCAAGTGATTAGGAGGAAGACTTCCACTGTGGATGAATAAGTTGGCAAACGCTTCTAAAAGAACGATTGCGGAAGTACCACATCGTTGAGCTTTGTCTATGAATCAGCTAAGAAGCAACATCTTCATCTACGAAGGACTATGTGCAGCCATTTTATGACATGTGTTTTTATTACAATTCCCAACAGTCAATGGGCGTGACGCAAACCAGTTTGGTTTAGTCCACACACCGTTAATCATGCTGAAACGGGATTGCTTTAGTGTGTGCATGCATGGAGATCCTCTTACAACTCTCAGATACTCGTATCAATGGGTGATTCTAAGCCCCGTACCCTACTACTGATCGGTCGGTCAGTAGTACGACGTCCAAGGGACGACCGTGCCTATTCGTCAGTGATAATACCTTCTACAAGTGAGCGTTCAGACAACTCTTAAAACTACTGATTGAGGCATACCCTTTGCCCCTTGAGAATGGATGATAAGAAGGCCCTTCTGCAACTTTTTCTGGTATCCAGGAGGATTCAGGCATTCCAACGCGTCTTTAAGGTACCAACTATAAACTCAGGTTTCTAAGAGCAAAAAAGGAGCAGTATGCGTTCATCACAATGCGTTTCATTTGCTCTTTCAAACCTAAAAAGTTTTTGACTTGACCCAGGCGAGTCTTGAAGACCGAACAGAGCAAAAAAGTTCTCTTAAGAAAGCGTTTAAGCTTTAGATGAAGAGCTAGCTAGTCACGGATTGAATTTGCTTATCGAAGGAGATGGCACAATCAATGCAAAATTTGGACATACGAAATGCAGACCAGCTCCGGTTAGAGATCGCTCTCGCAGAGTCTCAAGAATCATTGCGATTGTCATGAAGTCCTTGTCGACCTCCTCAGCATACCGTTCGACCAGTCGTAACGGTATCCCCGACTCACCTGCCTGCAGATCAAGACACACACAAATGTGGAATGTTCATCACACAAGGGAGTAACCTCCCATCCTCTTACCGCATTTGTATAGGGGGGTTTGGTAAGATCAATCCACTCTACCCGAAGTCGTTCAGCAATGAGAGACTCTAGATTGGCAGAATTCGTGGTGGAGTTTTGATGCTGCAACGAGGATTCGTCAATTTTTACAGACTTTGGTGTGGATGCTGTTCGTTTGCGGCCGCATTCAGGGAGACAGCTTCTGTTAGCCTCACCACTTTGTTGGTTTCGCATGGAGCTTTTCCGTAATATTCCAACTGGGGTCTTTGGCCGCTTTCATAAAAAGAAGAAGGGAAATGTTTGGTTAGCAAATTGATATAATTGGGTGGTCATCACAATTTATTGTGAGCATTTTTACTAAGTTAGGATTTTGTTTCTACTACTGAAGTAAAATGAACATAAAGTGCTTTTAATTAGGCAGAGGTAGCCTTTATCAGAATTCAAGGTTTTATTGAATAGTTGAAAGTCATAAAAGAAAGGTTTTACGGAAAGCTATGTCATCGGAACTTACTGCGAAGGAAATCTCACCCGGTGCATAATTTTTGTTCAACGACCCAACGTTGCTACCTTTAAATTTTAAGGAAATATTACGTAATAAAGTTGTGGGATTAGGGCATATTTCGCTGCTGCAATAATTTAGGGAATGCTGATTATTATAATAAGTAGTATGCACTTCCTACCTGTCATCTCAAGGATCCGCGGTGGCATAGCCATTTTAAGATCGTTGGGCAATTTCGGGCCAAGACTGTTTGACCGCTGAGCGGCAAGGGAATCATTTCGAGGGATATTGGGAAAGTGCTCTACAAGAAGAATGTCTCAAGTTTTCTTCCTACCACTGAATTGTGTTATTAGCAATCTTTGCTGTGCCTGAGCTTGTCATACATATATACGACTACTATTTGCCATTCTGGAGTAAAGAGGGCTAATAAATCGAACCATAAAGGACCGGACCACAGCAATACGTTAGGCATTATATGCAGAATGTGAGTTCACTCATGGAAGGGTTGTTTTCCCTCTCGAAGGGCAGCCCAAAAGTTCAAAATTGGCCGCACTGGCATGTTGGCACATACAGAGGGGTCCTGACAACCAGTTAAAACCACATTAAAAATACAAGATCACTACTCTATGAAGAGATGAGGATGCCGTGTGAAAAGGCGCAGGAAAACTGATTGTGGGGGTAATGCAATAGAACCCGACTAAGCTGCGCCACTTTGACATTTAACCAATATTATGAATTGTTGTCATTAAAAGTACATTCTTGTGATTCAATTGCCATAATTTAAGACAGATATTTCTGCAAAGGTCATAATAGTCCCGGGAATGTTGCAACATAGCTTAAACGGACAAACATTCATTCAAATTAAGCAAAATTTCAAATCATGTCTTATTTTCACATCATTCAAATTATGTACAATCAAAATGAAATGAAATGCAAGTGGGAAGTTGGCATATTCTGACTACTGTGAGACACTACCAGGTGCCTTCCGAAATGTGGCATTTCCACAAAAATGCCACTCCTTGATTCTAGTGGTATTTTTCAGTGGAGCCACCAAATTCATTCGCACATATTGCGTATGAAGTTTAACCGAAAATGACAAAAGATGGCGATTTCAAACACTCAAATTTAAGTGAGTAGTGTAAAAATTAGGGCATACTTCTGACTCCAAAATGTGTTTCATGCGAAGCTGAATCATTTGTAGCGACTCCGGTAGACTGAGATACTCGGTGGTCAATTTCTTGTCTACAAATTTATTTTATAAAGAAAATCATTAGATTTAATGACGTGTCTTTACTGGAAATAAAATATCGCACTTCAATACTGCAAATATTTGTTTAACTCTGCATTTTGATTACGCGGGCACTTAGGGCCACAGTCATTGTGTTCCCATTCGTCTGCATGGTTCAGAAGCCGTGTCGATAGCTCCAGCTCTTCCTTACATCAGTGGTTTATATTTTAAGAAATGAATGAGTTATAGAGACTTGTTTACATCACGAAGGATAGATTGGTTACAAGGAAGTCTTTGGTAAGATTCTGGAACATCAGAAGTAGATAGGCATAAAATGCCATTTTTCAGAAAAGATCATTGGTTTCATTTTCTGCAGTATTTTTTTGCAAGTAGCAGGTAGGAGATAGAGGACTACAGACAATGTCATGTGTATCTCATGATTTTGGGGATTGTATTTAAAATACCAGCTGGGGAAGTTACCCTTGTGTTTCCGGTACTCCCTGCCGAAGCCAATAATCACTGGATCGAGGAAGTAGGATATCTCCACGAGCATAGAGACTCTTGGGCTCATAGTTGATTGGGGTTCTGTTCCAAGTTGCCGATGCATCTTCGCCTTCACTGATTATGCAAACCGGGGTTTCTGTAGGTAAAGCAAAGAGATTCATCAACTCTTTGCAAGTTTTTACAGTAAACAAGACTCTTCCAGTTTACTCTAAAACGACTTTACTTTCAACATAAGTCCCTTATTTTAAATGTACGTAAGTCGAACAAGAATTTTTGGATTTTATTTTTTCAGGTCCGCAATGAATCATCCCCTCTCTGTACGAGTTTTTGCATTACTCATGTAATCAGAGCTGTCAACGCAATCTGAAAACTTACTGGTACCCTAAAGTATGAGTCTGTTGTTCAAAGATCCTCTTTAAAGTAAATAACACGCCTTACCACTGATCTTTACTCAATGAGTTATGAAATAAATCGATATTGGGACGCACCAGTGTTGAGTCATCGGGTTTATCGATTTTTTGCCCTGAAAACCTGCTGACTGTACTTTGGCTTCCGGGAGGGCGCCCACGCAGTGCGTTTTTGAGACTACTTACGATTATCTCCAAGGTATTAGACATTTGTATGGAGAGAGAGAGAGGAAAGCAACGCCTATTTGGTCACGCATTACTCTGTCTACTTGTCAAATAAAAAATATCAACTTCGTCCACTGGTCCAGCCATTGTAATCAGTGATAGGAATGTGAAAAAGTAAAAGTAATCCATTATCTCTGTCATTAATCAAATGCCACATACTGGGGCGCAGAATGGACTTGTTATTTGCAAACAGGAGGCGCGGAAGCAACTAACGCTTTGGCGAAAAACTTCCCCAACACTTTTTTCAAAAAGGTCATAATAGACAGAGTGAAATTACGGCTACACAAAACTCTTCCAAGCGAGAGAATGTTTTTTCCACACCTAGTCTCTTTGACCCAACTCTGGTTAATTTGGAGCGTAATGGTAATAAATTTAATAATTTTATTGCCCATAAATGTCAGTGGGAGACACTCACGTCCCCTGAGGTGTGCAAGACCGGACTGGAAATTTAATCAATCCACATTAATTAGCAAACAAACTAAGCATAGTAGAAAAGTTGTTTTAAAAATCCTCTGTATTGTCTCACATTTCTGATTGAAGTAGACTAAAACTTCTCTGCAGAAGCAAGTGAAAATACCTAACCTTTAAAAGTGCAGGATGAAGATATCAAAGTGCAAATCATATTATTTATTTGTATGAATTGTGTTACAATCGTGTGACACTCAAAGGTGCTCCGCTCTCCTCCAGACTATTTAAATACGTATTTTCTCTATGACACACTCAGCCAATTGGCTTTTAGAATGGGGTATTTCTCCAATCTAATTGGTTTACAATCAAGCCAATCGATTTTGACCGGATGTAATACGCCATCCAGAAGGCGGGAAAGTTTTTTTAAAAAAAACACCTTTTAATTATGCATTCATATAACCCATCCAAAATGTAAAACTCTTGCAAAGTGTTAAATATTGCAAGCTAAAAGAGGGGTAATTTATCTTCGAATTTAAATTAGTAATATTTAACCACAAAGAAACAAATTACTTGCACTGTTTCGGAATGGGACAAATGAATACCACCAATTTGTAGCAAACAAAATTCAGACTAATTAAAATTTACTTTGACCAAATCATGAAAGTTGGATAAAGGAAAGCATCCTGCTGACTTTAAAGGTTCACCTTTCAACAATATTTTACAACTCCCATAAGTACCGATTATAGGACTGATATAGCAACTTATGATCCTAAATCATTATAATTCTTCAAGTTGTCGCTACTCGTTGAGTTATTTGAGTTTATGCAGAAAAAATCAACGATAAAAATGTAAGAGGGGATGGTGAGACGCACCGATTCTTGAGTTTGTGAGCAATTGAGCCGCTGTTAGCAGGCTGGCACGAGCTTCGGCACTTGTGACTCCCATGTCAATGAGTCGTTGTCGTGTCAATCCACCCAGTTGATCAATTCGTGCCAAACCATGCTGAAGTAAACGCTGGTAAAGACTCTGAAATGACAAGCAATAGAGCCTTACGATTCCGTCAACAGAGGCAGCAGCAATAGCATCGCAGTGGTCACGCCTCTGAATGAATGAGTTGGGAAAACTCTTTAACTAGCACAGCATCTGCCATGAAATAGCCGATTTTGCCGCCCTCTTTCGGTCTCACCTCCCTCCTTCGCTCGTCCACCGTAAGCAAGGCTGCTTCGGAATGTGTCGGACAAGAGTGGATAGTAGGCGGAGCAGTGGGAGCGACACCATCATCTTGTCAGTGGGGAAGGTGTGTGATGCGTTCTTGGATGCGAGTTGGGTGAAAACATGCTGGATGGCAAAATGTGCGCCGATTTTCTCCACATCGCTCCTTGACTTGACAATCACATCTGTTGTAACTGATTTGTCATTCTGAGTCGGAAGATGAAATAACTCAGGTGGCAGGGCGTTGTGTTTGGTTACCACAGTTATTAACATTTTATCCAACTGGTCGGATGCATTTGTTGTGCGGTTGTGTTTTTACTTTATTTCAGGTTATAGTGCCTCTACATTTGCCTTACCTGCATCAAAAAGATGCAGCATTCCGACTTCCTTTCCCTATCTCACAGTTTGCATAAATGAGTGACATGCCAATCGCCTTTGCTCCTGCCTTTGGCTAAAATATCAAAGTGTTTTGACATTTTGTTTATGATCCACTCACACGTAACCCCTAAAGCTGTATTTTCTGCTCGATGGTCAGGACCTCAGGTCATCCCATCAGCCTTCCGGCTTTTCTCTACATGAATTATTAGTCAACTTTCCTACCAAAATTGGGCTGTTTCAGATCAGGGACGACCCGAGGGACCCTATGACCAGAAACCTTCCCTCTCTTCTGTAATTCAATGATAGAAGTGCGTTTTCGCATAAAGACGAGGCCATTTGTCCCTTTACAAAATGGTGGCAATCGGATTCCAGCGAAATTAAGAGGTGCTTCATGACCTTCACGAAGTTGGATGTGGTAATCTAGATGGACCGTTAATTATCAGTCTGTAGGACTGTAAATTGTAGTAAATAGGTGTACGACAAATTCTTTCAAGTGTCAAAATTAAAAAATAAAAAAAATCAAAGCAAGGCCTAAGTTCATCCTCATAAATCCCAAAAACTGTCTTTGAATAATTAAGGTCTGCGAAGATGCTCGGAAGGCAGTATTTAAAAACTCCTATTTTAACTTTAACAGACATTCAGTGATGTTTTTAGAAAAAAATCCTTTTTTAAATTAATTAATTTAGCCTTAATTGTTCATGACATCCCTGTTTCTCCCACACAGAGTCTTTTCTCTAAAAACTTTTTAATCACTAAAAATGCATACGGGGTGTTATTTCCTCCGCGTTAATCAAGTATTCTTGGAATAAATTCCATGTCAGCTCCACGAAGTATGCTTTTCAAAGCCATTCAGTCTATTGTTGTAGCAGTTGCTCGTCAAACAAGACTGTGGCTGTAAGGAACCCCTCGTCCATCAGTCATCATTTGCTTTATAGTCGAAGGTTTGGCTGGATTCCTTTTGACTGCTAAGAACGTGGATGTAGTGTCACTTACACCTCACACCTTCCACCTGTGGACCTTTACAGCTCCACACTAGGCGTTTTCAAGTTGTCACTGTGGTTTGTAATTGTCCCATTGCAGAACAGGAAATACTACTGATGGTCGAAAATAAGTAGTTACACTACCTCTCCGCCGACTCAGTTATTTATAGCAGACATCTTCATCCGCAGTACTCATTTTTATGCCCCCCATCTTCTACGATGACATTTTTGTTCCCTTCGACGAAAGTCGTTTAGCAGTCCTGCCCGTCTCTTCCCTGATGACGTCGAAGGATTGCTCCATTAACCATACGAGGAAGAGCCAAGGTGCTGCAGATCTGGATGTTCCTACCATCGAGTAGAAAACTCTGAAACACACTTAACTACACCACTAAAACAAAAGTTTTGTTTTAAAAAAAGCACTAAATTTCTAAGTAGAAAGAAGATTTTTAAAAAGTCATCTTTTGTGAACCATGATAGCAGATGCCATCTGGTTTGCATCTAAACTACCTTTAAGATAGAAGAGGAGGAGGAGGAGTCAGAACCCATAATGCATTCAGAACACTTCTACCTTAGTCTCTATATCCACAAGTCAAATCTTTCGAGTACTGAGACAGAGAATGCCAAACCTTCACGTCTTGTCTAAGGATTAGTACACATGAGTAAGTTGTCAGTCGGCATGCGTACAACCGTACAAAATATGGGTTGGGAGGTTAAGTACAGTTACAGAGGGGCATAAATTATCCATGCCTTTATGGCTAGACCGCCAGAAAGTACCGTTTTCCAACATTCGAGTGAGTCGGCCTACTGATTTATTAATTACACAAAAAGTGGGAGAATTGTGGTCCGTTTTTCAACAAAAAAAAACAAACAAACTCCAAAACCTGGGCAATTAGTTTTAGGAGAAACCTGAATGGGAGAAATCGACACTAGGTAACGGCAACCGGGGGGAAGAATCTGCTGCTAATTAACGAAACCAGTAGTATACAAGTTTATTTGGTCAAACAGTCAACTACATGAAGAACAACTAGATCCGTGGTAGGTGCCACGACTTGGTATAATATCTTCGCAAAAGACATCGAAGGGAAAGCTTTAACCTCCTCTCTAGTTCTTAACTATCTAATAAGTGAAATTAGTGAGTTGGAATTCTTAGCTGAAACGAATTGTGCTTGCCATAACATGCTACTGAAATACTACTCACTTTCCATAAGGAATACCTCCCGTACCTTTAAGTTTAGCTGACATTCAAAAAAGGTTAATCGAAGCAACTTTAACGTTTTCCTTGCTTACAAGCAGATTGCAATACGATGGTTGTTTATCTCTTGGCTTTGGTGAGGAGTCACTTTTGGCTTGGCCAATGTGGGCTGGCATTCGGACCCTGTCGGAAGCCCAAACACCTTCTCTATGTTGAATACATAAATACATATTCTGCCCGAGCGTTATATCTTCTTTCGCCTTCATGGAAATCTCGATACGCCACAAAGCCGGCTCTTAAAAACGGCGGCTCGAAATTATCAAGTAAAACAAAACGTATTAGCTGTAATATATTACTTAATTTTAACAAAAACCTTATTTATCGTCTTCGATTTTTCAACTCTTAATTTAAGAACATTCTTTCTGTTATCTAACCTTTAATGATTCAGTGAGAGAAAATGTTTTAATTCTCGGAACTGTCTCCAGGCATTTCGGCTCTTTTTGTTCCTCCAGGATGCAACAATCTCAGCCTCTTGATTTATGTGATGCCTAATTACCCTGTAAAATTTACATTTATAAGGTAAAAAAGTATTCGTTGGATTTTAGCGTCGAAAACAGGTATTTTAATGACGTTAAATTGTTTTTCGAAAGTCACATTTATATTTTCCTTTGTTGATTTGATAAATTGCATATCTTGTAGGGCTGCAGTAGCACCAAAATTTCTCGATTTAATATGCAGAGATGTTATTTAACAGTAAAAGTACTTTTATTAATTTAAGACCTCTCTAGCATCCTCAGTTTGGTTAAAATTTTGGTGTTATGCCGATCGGATCACGGATGTAAGCTTCGAGCCCTTCTGCGTCTTGACGACGAACCCCTCGTCGTCATCGCTTTGCATCAGTAATGCCTTGGAGGGCTGCGCATGCGACAGCGATTGATGCGGAGTGAGTGCGGTAGATGGTTAATTCGTCTAAGGTTTACTACAGAAGAGTCCCCGAAGCTATACCGAAGTTTGATCATCTCCATGGCCTTGGGTAATAAAGCAGGAAAACACAAGAGATGGACACAGATCACAGAACTAAAATTACTACAATAGCCCGTACTTAGGCCGATGATTCTACAACAAGCGGCGGAGGTCATGCATAATATATTTGCCGTGGAAACTCCAAATGACTTTCTCCTCAGACGGCATGACCCTAAAGGAATATGCAAGTCTTTATAGAATACAGGGGAACCGCAAGAAGTGTCGAGCATCAAGATCAAATAGGGAAAAGGACGTTTATTTCGGATTTGGTAAACTCCTTCATACCCTGGTGTTCTGCTTACACCCATGGCTTTCCGGCTAACTTGTGCGCTAATGCCTAACCCTCACCCACATCCGTCTTCTACTTTATGTCTTCCAGATGACAATGAGGTCCTGCCACACATAACTGCCCTAGTAGTCTTGGATTATTTTAAAAATTTCCCCGATTTTTCAGTTTTAGCGCCTTTTTTGTACTTCTTAGTGCAGACGTTCCACATAATTTATGCATTCTCTAATGACATTAAAAATTTGTTCTTAATTCCGAAAAAAAGAAGATGCTTATTTTTTGCATGTCACTACGGTCATTTTTTTATATTCTCTCCTTTTTTTCCACGATCTTTTAGGCTTGTGTCTGACATTTATCCGACTTTAAAATACGATAACAAGAGATGGGCGATTTTGCCTTCTTTTTCGCCTTATCAACTTACCTCTAATCCGAGCTTCTTCAGCAGTACTAGGAGATCTTGTGTCTCTCCAGGGCACTTATGATGAGTGCGATGATGGTGCTGATGTTGGTGGTAGTGAGGATAATGTCCACTATTATGGTGGGATAGCCGCCATCGTCGGTGTCGACGAGAGGCCTCATCAAAGTTACTCGCCCATGGTCGTCGATAGGGTCTGTCGTAGTCAGGATCGTCATCCTCCGTGCCTTTAAAACATTCCATTGGAATTTGCTCATAACAACTGGAGCCATTGCCTGGACTACTGGGAGCGGATAAACTCATTTCTGACTGGTGTGGTGACAGAACTCGTCTAGAAGGGGATACTTGGTCTTAGCAATTGAACCGAGTTTATGAAAAAAATATGTAGAAAAACTGACTTGTAGACATCTGGAGGCTTCCATCGCAGTCCACGACTTCGATTAGCTCGATAGATTGTTACAGGAGGGGGTTGTCTGTGTCCCGAAATGTTGGAGGGGAGGCGAGAAAGGTCCAACAGAGGGGTCGGAGAGTCATAACCCGAGACCGGAGACACTGGAGCTGAGGTGGACCGTTCGCTCGGTGCTAAGGCAAGCAAAAGGTCCAATAACTTAAAATTCTCAGGAAGCCGATTAGTCAGTCAAAAATGCATGGAAAATGCTGGAATAAAAATGCCTAGTAACTCTTGACGTGAAATATGTCACTGGTAATGTG